GCATGCTGCTAATGTACTGAGGCACATCCCTTTCCATGGAGTAGGAAGCACCCAGAATGGGGAGATGTGACAGCCATGCTGGACTCAGGGAGGTGAGGCGTACACTGCCCCAGGCTCTTCCTCCTCCCTCCCTCATGGAGAACGGTACAACATTCCCTTTGTACTAAAACCCCAGATTTTTGGCTTTGGCCTGCTTACTGTGTTATTTACTGTTAACTTGTTGAGCTGGTACGGTTCCTTCTAGGACACTGGAATGGAATGCTTTTGTGCCAGTCCCTCACTCTCATCACTGAGGCTGGAGTGCAGTGGTACAGGTCATACATAGCTTACTGAAGCCTCCACTCCTGAGTAAAGGTCTGGCTATGTGGCCCAGGCTGGTCTTAATTCCTGACCTCAAGGAATGCTTCTGCCACAGCCTCCCAAAGTGCTGAGTACAGGAACAAACCACTGCACCCAAAATAGAATCCTGTATCTCAGGGGACTCAGGTAGTTCTTTACACTTAAGTCAGTTCTCCAACTTCGGGTGACATAAAAGCACTGACTTAAGAGAGACCACTAGCAAAAATTAATGTGCAAAGAAAATGAGTCATATGGGGAAACTCCGTTCTTGGGGCAACCATTTCCAACTCCCTTTACTCCAGTATCCAGAATCCTCTCCCAGGCAGTGCTTCACACTACTCAGGAGTAGCAGGGTTCATCCCAAAGCAAAAGGGAGTGACGAGCACAGGCTCTAGAAGTAGATCAGAACAGAACAGTGGGAAGATGAGACAGCAGAAAATACTTTAATCCAAGTGAATTCAGAGAAAAGGCTGGAAGAACAGTTTAGTCACTCCAACAGATGACTGGAACCTCACTTTCACAGGACCAAAGGATGAGTGCTGGTCAGGTTTGGTTGCATCACTGGTTCTGAGCCCTGGCTGTGCACTGGAATGGCGATAGCAAAATGGATCCTGGCCCCCAACCCCCTCATAGCTTCAGGTGGCCAGGGATGGAGAGCTGCACTCCCTATATGTTTGTGTTGAACTGCAGGTTTTGTTAGAGCATTTCTTAGGAAAAGCCTCATTAACAGTCAAGTGCTTCCTTTCTGAGCTCACCCCAGCCCATACAGGGCAGTTTTGTTCCCCACAAGGTGCTTCTTACTTCTCCGCAGGTTCTGCCACCCTGACTCCACTGACCGCCCCGCAAAGGAGCTAGCTCCATCAAGGAAGACACCACACCAAAAAATCCACCAGTTGTTAAATGACCTTTATTGAAATATTTTCCTTTATGCTTCTTAACTCTGTGGGAAAAGGGGGAAAAAAATCAGTAAATAAGGGAAAGTTTAAAAAGATTATCTCCTAACTCCACCAGTAACCATTTCCAAAACTTCCTAATCTCCATGAATACCCTGGATGGTCCCCCTTTTGCCCCTAATGCAACAAGTGAAGCAGAAGTCACTTACAGCTGGGCATTCCACAGCACCACTGTTGATGTCATCTATGATGTCGTGAGGGTGACGGCCATCAACATTACAGCCCACAGACTGGGCAGTCCCCAGGATCTCTTTAATGGTTCCTTTAGGAAAGAAATGATGGCATTGGAGGTGCTGGCTCAGTCCCTTACAATCCTCAGATACTGGGAGATACTTAAGGGTTTCATAGCAGGCAATGGAAACAATGATGTTACTGCTCCTCTGATAAGAGTTCAGAGCTCCATCTAGTCACAGCCCTGAATGCAAAGCTTCCATGGGTCCTTGATGCCCAGATTAAACACATCCATTCTTTCAATCGCAGAAAACTCTGTACCCCATCTTGGGTCTCACTGAGTACCCTTCAAGTGGGAAGAGTGTTAACCACTCATACAAGTACGGGTTACAGCAGTTACATGTCATCCTGCTCTTACCAGAGAGTTCTCTGGCTAAAGATCGGTGCCGCATCTGTCGAGCAATGTTGACAATCTCATCGAAAGTGATATTCCCGCTGTGTTTAACTGCAGAAGAGGAAACAGCAAAAGCTTTGTTACAGTCTGAAGCCAAAGCAGATCAAGAGTCCTTCATCTCATTTCTAGGCTGTTCCCATGCTTTCGGCACAGGGTCATCCACATGCAGAACAACCCTGTTTCCTAAGCTGGGGTTTACTATCAGCTCACCACTGGACTGCACCAGCCAACAGAGACCTGGTCAGGTGCAGTGGCGGGTGGCTAAGGGCAAAACGAAGCCTTCACAAAACTGACGTGGCAGAAACTTTGAGAGATGAGAAATGACAAGCTTAAATTACTGGGGACAATTAAACTACCCAGTACCCGCCAGTTCTATATGGCCTCCTGATTATAAGTCACTGTTGCTGACATCTTCCTCCCACATAAACTGGTTGGGGCCTGCCCCACACAGGGACTACATGGCACTTTTGAGACAGAGTCTCACTCTGTCACCCAGACTGGAGTGCAGTAGCACACTCTTGGCTCACTGCTGCAACCTCTGCCTCCCGGGTTCAAATGATTCTCCTGCCTCAGCCGCCCAAGTAGCTAGAACTACAGTCGTGCACCACCATGCCAGGCCAGTTTTTGTATTTGTTTTTTGGTGGAAATGGGGTTTCACCATGTTGGCCAAACTGGTCTTGAACTCCTGACCTCACGTGATGCATCGCGCCAGGCCTACATGGCATTTTGATACTGCCTGGCTCTAGCAGCCTTAACCAATCAACACCAAAAACCCATGTCAACCTCAGATTTCCTTCAAGGGAAAACACGGCCATGTATATCAAACATCTCACAAACCATTACCAAAACCAAACTAGGAAAAAGACAACTCACTGTTTTTCTGTTTCTTTCTGTCTCTTGGTGGTTCCTTAAGGGCTTTGATGATCAGGGCAGAGGCAGAAGGCACCACCTCAATCTGCGGAAGAGATTTTTGAGTAAATCAACTACTCCACCTCCAATGAATACTGCATGCACAGTGGCTCTCAAAAAATCACGGGCCTCACCATCCAAGTCTTTGCCCTAGGTCTGTGCTCTTGACAAAGCCTCCCCAACAAGGTAAAATTACTCTCAGCTCACGATTGGTGGCAGAAATACTCTATTCAGGAATCCCAGAGGGTGGCTACCTCTGACCCCGACCCCCAAAACAAGCACGCAAGTAAATACCTGGGCCTGTCTGTTCTGAATGGTCAGTTTCACTGTAATCCTCAGGCCCTTCCAGTCACCCGTTGCCTTGGCAATGTCATCACCAACCTTTTTTGGAGACTGTAGAAATAAAGGCATGTAATCAACATGGGTGTCCATAGATGAACCACAGCCTTGAAGCCTGTCCACCACTTCCCACTTGGCAACAAAGGAAGCCATTTCAAGTACCTAAGGATACCCTCCCAATAGGAGCACAGCTATCACCACAGCATAAATTGGGGGGCGGGGTTGTGTTGTCCAGGACTGTAAGCTACAGATTCGGCAACAGTGGAGCCTAGACCCCCTCGTAAGTGCCTATGTGCTTTAAGGAGGGGGATTTTCAGCCCTGGTGACATTAGAATCACCTAGGGAGCTTTCAAGAGACTAGGGTCCCATGTCAGACCACCCACATCCACCTGCCTGGGAGTATGGACATTTGCTACTTGGAAATTCTTCTCTATTAACCTTTAGCCTAAACAATAGGCTAAGTGTCCCTTAAGTGCCAGCTGAGCTAAGGGTCAAGGAAGAATAGTTAAGATGCAGGTTAAGAAAGACCAATGGGAAAGAGCATTTGGGACAGGGGACCACTGTGCAGGGATTAGGTAAAGTCCTAATGAAATCCAGGGAAATCCAAGTACAGAATGACAGGGAAGCTGGCAGTTGCTCTGTAGACATGAGGCACAGCTTGTCACGTCAACCGCTAGGTTTATTTCTACAACACAGTTGGAAATGCTCACTGGATTTTCACTCCTACCCCATTTAATCTCCTAACAATGCCATGCCCACTTCCCTAACGAAATACAGATATTGGCTGCCCGATGTCACAAAGCCACTCCTGACTTCCAAACTCACTTGGGCCCACCCCTCACGAACACCAAAGCAGCAGTGGAGACATGTGGAGGTAATTACAGTTTAAAGGCACCGGGTTCGATTTTCCACTCACGACCTTCCTAAGGTACCTAACACTAGTTCAGTGGCTTAGGCCTGGTGAGGGTGACAGTCCAAGCCATGACAGCACCTCTGGCACAGTCGTGACTCCACGAGCCGGCGCTTAACACTGCTCTAAATAAAGAAATGCCCCTTGGCGGGGATTACTTACCAGACCCAGGGGGCCGATCTTGGGGGCAAGCGCAGAAGTGGCACCGACTTCACCCCCAGTGCACCTCAGGTATACTGGGGGGGAAAAAAGGGTTAGTGTCTCTGCAGAGGGAGCCCCCGAGCCACAACCCTCTCAGCGTCTTTCCGGGGCTGGACACACCACCCCCTCTGCCTCTTCTCGAAACGGCACCGAGCGAGAGGCTGGCCACCCGCTAATCCCTCGGGGTGGGCAGCTCCGAACCTCACACCGGGGAGGCGTGGAGAGCCCCGTCGCCTGCGAACCCAGGCCAGTGGGGCTAAACGCCCGGAGACAAGCCTTACCCTGAGGCGTGCGGGTTCCCAAGCCGCCACAGGTGGTCCGGTCCTCCCTTCCCACTTACACGTGGAGAAGCTAAGGCCCAGAAAGGCTGAGGCTTGGCCGGGACGGCGCAGCACCAGAAAGGCCTCTAGGAGGCAGGGGCTTTAGAGCCCCACATGGGAAATCTTTCCACGCGCGGCGGGGCCGAGGGATGCTGCATCCCGCGGCCCCAGCCACAAGTAGAGCACGCACCGACTTTGATCTCGTTGGGGTCGAACTTCGGCGGCATGGTGGAGGCGGCTGGTGTCGGATGAACCCGGATTCGGGACGACCGAAGAAAGTTGCACCTTGGCCTCCTCCGAGCCGAAAGCCGAAAGACCGGAAAGCGCGCAGACAACGCCGGATATAGGTAGGAAAACTCGGCACTCGCGAGAACCGTCGTCAGTGCCCAGCCTTCCGGGGATGCCCTTGTCGCCATGTTTGTTGTGGGCATGCGCCTGAGGCTGACGGCTGGCAAACCCGGGCACCGCGGTGCGCCGAAGCTGAAGATTCCGAAAGGGGGTTCGGGTAGTTTGCTTCGGAGAAGTCTGAGAAGAGGGGTTGCTCCCGAGATCCCAGGCCTAGCTGTTTCCCATATTCTTTATCGTGAGTGTCACCCCGGACCCTGTCACCCAATCCCAGAGCCCCGCCCCTCCCCTGAAGAGTCCGTAGTCCCATTCCGGAACCCCGGTACCGCAGCGACCCCTGCCCCCTAGAGTGTGTGCACTTTAGTTATCAAAACAGTCTGTTCATGTGGAAATCCAGTCCCGCTCTTCATTCTGAGAGTCCGTGGTTCCGAGAGCCTCAGACTTCGTCATCCCGATCTGCGTGACTTTCTGAGATTCTGAGTTTTTGTCCCCAGCACCTGCGTTTGCAGGAGACCAGACTCCGGCTCCGCCCGGCCCATGCCGGGTGGTCTGCGGCCGCGAGTTCGTGACCAAGCCCTCCAAGTGATCGACCTGCCCGCGGGTCCCAACGTGGGGGACCCCTCCATCCACAAAGCTAGGTCAGCCACTGCCCACCCTGGCCCAGGAAGTATGGGTGTGGCCCTCGCCCTGCTTCTGGGCTGGATGTCGGAGAGGGAGGGACAGGCATGTGAAAAAGCAGTCTGAAAAGAGCTGATCTTCTGGGAGGGGTGGGAGAGCGATGGTAGTTGGGAGGAAGTGGGGAGGGGGAGGGGGGTGCAGGAGGGTTAGTGACTAGGGAGCAGAAGGGTATGCTGGTCATCAGGGAGGGATGGGGGAGGGCTGTTTTCAAACCATTTCTCATCCTTGCAGGCAGGTGGGATGGCAAGAGGTGCCTGAGCTGGCTCTGCAGGCCTGGCTGCCTCCCCAGACAGCCCTGCCCCCTGTGGGTGCAGAGCTGCCATCTCTGCCCATCCGTCTGAGGACTGGGTGTATGTCTTCTTCAACTGCATCTCCTCCCATGACTGTCTTCTCCCTAGCTCCTCTAGCAGGCCCTGAGTCTGCTAGACTGTTGGTTGCATGTGGGGTGCTTTGTGACTAACATTTATTGAGCACTCATTGTGCTCCAGGTACTGTTGTACTATGCGCTTGACATACGTGAAGTCATTAGATCCTCACAGAAGCCAGTGTTGGTAGCGTGGTTACCCACACTTTACAGATGAGGACACTGAGGCCATAAGACATAAACCAAGATGATCTCTGCAGTTGTGGGTGGCAGATCTCAGATTCAAACTAGTTCTATTTCATCCCAAAGCCTGTGCTGCTCACCATGCACTTCCCTGGGTGATTGCTTCCTGGCCCATTGCCATCACTTACCCAGCTCTGATATTTACAGACACTGTGCAGGCCCTGCGCAGGCAGTGAGCACCTGGCTCTGAGTTCAGGACAGTGTACTTGGTGTGTGCCAAGTTATGTGAGCACCAAGGAGTCAGGCAAATCTCACAGGTCAGGACTTGAGAGACCAGGGTTCCAGGCTGGCTTTTCTGTAATCCAGGCTGGACAGCCAGGCCACTGAACTTAAAAAGCATCTGTTTCTTCACTTTACGTGTGTATGGTATGTGTGTATTATTATTTTCTGAGACAGAGTCTCCCTCCGTCACCCAGACTGGAGTGCAGTGGCACGATCTCAGCTCAGTGCAACCTCCACCTCTTGGGTTCAAGTGATTCTTGTGCCTCGGCCTCCCAAGTATCTGGGACTACAGGTGCACGTCAGCATGCCCAGCTACTTTTTGTATTTTTAGTGGAGACAGGATTTTGCCATGTTATCCAGGCTGGTCTCGAACTCCTGGGCTCAACTGACCCACTCATCTTGGCCTCCCAAATTGCTGGGATTACAGGCATGAGCCACCACACCCAGCCTGTTTCTTCACTTTAAAAAGGGATATGGTGAGAATAACAACTGAGGTTGGTAAGCTGAGGATTGCTTTTTAATTTGTATTCTCCGCAGAGGTCTCTTTGGTCGTGATGTAGTTGAGCTCCCTGAGGTTCTGACTGGTTTTGGTTTGGTCCTGCTGATCCTGCTCTGACAGTGTTTGGGGGCTGGAAGTGATTCACTGACAGAGTCTGTTAGAGTCCTCAAAGAACAGCCTTGGAAAGTGCCTGAGGAAACTTCTCTGAGTTTCCCCAGAATGGGGAAAGGATAATACCAGGGCCTCACTGTGGGTTGGTGGCAAACGTGGGCCCTAACCCAGGTCATCTGTCTTGTGTCTGTCCCTTTCCACCTCATCCTGCTGCTTAATGTTTATTCAACAAAGAACAAGGAGTACTGAGTGCCTGCTGTGGGATCAGGGCACAGGCAGGACTAGAGGGACACAGCCCCGACCCCATGGAACTCACTAGAAAGATGCAACCCCTGATCCCATGGAACTCACTACAAAGACGCACCCCCTGCCCCCAATGGAACTCACAAGGAAGACACAACCCCTGCCTCTATGGAACTTAGTAGAAAGACGTGGCCTCTGCCTCCCTGGAACTCACTAGAAAGACGTGGCCTCTGCCTCCCTGGAACTCACTAGAAAGACTCGGCCCCTGCCTCCATGGAACTCACTAGAAAGACGTGGCCACTGCCTCCATGGAACTCTCTAGAAAGACTAGGCATCTGCCTCCTTGGAACTCACTAGAAAGACGCAGCCCCTGCCTCCATGGAACTCATGGTCCAGGAGACCGGCTGCATGCTCTGTGTTACTGTACTACCTGTCCCGGCTGTTGGGGGCTGTGACAAATTCTCCAGGCTGTAACTTCTCTTCTGTACTCCAGGGTCTGAAAGATTGCTCTGGGAAAAGGGAAGGATGCCGCTTTTCTTCCGGAAGCGGAAACCCAGTGAGGAGGCTCGGAAACGCCTGGAGTACCAGATGTGCCTGGTGAGGGAAAGTGGGCTTCCTCTCACTCTACCCCAGCTCCTCCTCTGTCCGTGTGGAGTAGGGCTCCACACTGCCCCCGACAAGCATGCTCCCTCCCGTCTGCCTCCCCCACCCACAAAAGAAATTTGAAATAGATAAAAGAAAACAGATGAGGCCCCTGCTAAGGGTGCATCTCCCCTGTAGACTGGGCGCACTGTCATTGCTTTTCAGTCCCTCATCCCTCTGGGCCTCAAGCTCCAGGAAAGCAGGGGTCACCGGCTCACCTGCCAAATGTACCAGTGGAACCAGATAGTGTCTGTGGTCCTTTGCAGCTGCTTAAGTGTATGTTCTTTGCCTGGTTTGTCTACTCTGCAAGGATGTTTTGTTTTAATACTTTTTAAAAATTATTTTTATCCTTAGGCAAAAGAAGCTGGGGCAGATGACATTCTCGACATCTCTAAATGTGAGCTCTCAGAGGTAAACTGAGCACCATGTTGGGCTGTGAATTGGATCTGTCCCATTTTCTTGGTTCATGTGTCCCTAGGAAAGACAGAGGTGGACTGGGGCTTTAGAAAGGCCAGAAGCACTAGTCACGAGATATTTCCTTAGATTTTGTTCTTGTCCAAAAGCATTGAGATGATCTTTTGGCCTCAACATAATATAGTTCCCAAACGACAAGGAGTCTAAGTGGAAAATGTACCTACAGACTCTCAGGGTGCTGGAAGGGCCTGGCATTCTCCAACCCTGAAGGGGTTCACGATGGGGACAGGGTGGGTGGGGCAGGGCAGTCTCCTGCCATCTGACTGAGAGAAGGGCTGGCCACATCCCCAGCACCACTGCCCACCAGCCTTGCCCCTGGGCTCAGCACTGCCGCCTGCTGCAGGGTTTTGCCCTTGTTCACTTCCTGCCCCCTCTTCCTCACGTGAATGCCGCTCAGAGAACAAGCCGCAAATCGACAGACGGGAGAAACTTACTCTTCTTTATCTTATCTTAGATTCCCTTTGGAGCTTTTGCAACATGCAAAGTTCTGCAGAAGAAGGTGAGAAGGAGCTTCATCTTTGGAAACTCGCTTATTGCATGTTTGTTTGAACCTTCAAAGGACTTTGAGGAGCTGTCTTTCTTGCACAGACACCTCCTTTCTCCCTGTTTCTTATGCTTTTGGCCTACAGCAGCATAGGAGACAGGAGAGTAGGCTTTGGGGTTGGACCCCCCCACCCCATGTCACATTCTGACTCTGCCTTCACTGGCTTCATGACTTGGGCAACTTCCTTAAACTCTTACTTCTCTGTTTCTTCATCTGTGAAATGAAGACATTCATAGTTCTCCTCTCTCAGAGACACTATGAGAATTAAATGAGAATTAAATGAGTGGTAGAAAGCTAGAGATAGAAATATGCTGAGTATAATGTCTGCCACGTAGTAAAGGCTGATGAACCCTGGTGTTAATAATAACAGAAACTCACTCCTTTTATTCTGGTCACCCAGGAGAGATTCCGAGGGGAGTGAATGATTTTTCAGCAGAGCATTGCAGCTTTGAATGCAGATGGATAGAAGCACTCTAAGTGAAGTATCTAAATGAGAATATGTTAAAAAAAAAAAAAAAAGTGTTCTATGTCAACAGACTAGTGAGCTCCTTGGCACTGGAAGTGTGTGGGGTTTTTTGTTTTGTTTTGTTTTTTTGAGGCGGACACTTTGCTTGTCACCTAGGCTGGAGTGCAATGGCACAATCTCAGCTCACTGAAACCTCCACCTCCTGGGTTCAAATGATTCTTCTTCTCAGCATCCTGAGCAGCTGAGATTACAGGTGCCCACTACCACACCCAACTGCCCACTACCACACCCAACTAATTTTTGTATTTTTAGTAGAGATGGAGTTTCACCATGTTGGCCAGCCTTGTCTCAAACCCCTGACCTCAAGTGATCCACCCGCCTCAGCCTGCCAAACTGCTGGGATATAGGCGTGAGCCACTGTGCCCAGTCTGTGCTGGAAGTATTAGGCGGCTATTGATGCCTAAGAAAAATAGCCACAGATGACCTGGATTGAGCCCTGGCCCCTGTGCCAGGACGTTTTACACATGAGCTTGTTTAACATCATGGCAGCCCTGGGAGGCAGGCACTTTACTATTCTCCATTTTCCACGTGAAGATGCTGGCGCTGGGAAGGTTATGATCAGGAATGGCTGCAGGGGGATCCTTTCTCAGTATGGAAGGAAGATTTAGACCTCTAAGGTCTCTTTCACCCTTGAAGATCCAGATTTTAAGGAAGGGCATCAGATTCCCCATGAGATTGGGAGAGTTCACGATTCTGACTTGCATCCTCCCGACCCCTGTCATGGTGTCTGGGAGAGCAAGGTGGCTGGGCATGGCAGGGTGCTAGGCTGGCTCCCACGCCCTTAGCCTGTGCTGTCTGCTGCTCTTCCTCAGCCCAACATGGCCCCACATCTCTCCACACAGGTGCTGATCGTCCACACGAATCACCTCACTTCCCTGCTTCCCAAATCCTGCAGCCTCCTGAGTCTGGCAACCATCAAGGTACTGGGCTCTCCTCCCAGGCGTCTGGACTCTGCATGGGGTTTCAGGTGGCAGCCGATGGCGTGCTCCCTTTGGGCCGCCTCTTCTATGTCAGAGGGGCCTGATCTACCAGTCAATCTGGGATTTGATCAGTTTGGTTCATCAGGCACTTCTGTGGGCTGTGTGTGAGACAGGGTGACAAAGATGACCAGCCACAGGCCCTGCCCCCGGGGAGTTTACATGCTAGGAGGAAAGTCAAATGATAAACTCATGACGAGTCAGCTAGCAGAGGGCTGACAGTCCCAGGCAGGAAGGAAGAGGAGGGATGCTCAAGTGATCTGGAAGGATTCCCTGCTGACTGTGAGCTCCTCTGACGGCTGGGAGGCATTCATACATGTGGGAGGTATGAGCCCAGGGTTCTGTGCAGACCTGAGCTTGGGAGAGTGGTATGTACCTTCAGAGCAGCCCGGCAGCACAGGCCTCAGAGTAACTGTGGGCACTGGGATTGCGGGCAGTTTTATTATTATTTTATTATTATTCTGGTCCAACATGTATTATTTTGTATTCAGAAAAAAGAACATTTTAAAAATATTTTTATATTTATGTATACTTATATTTCATATATATGTATATCATATATACAGTTGTCCCTTGATATTCGTGGGAGACTGGTTCCAGGAATCCCCAAGGATACCGAAATCTACAGATGCTCAAGTTCCTGTATAAAGTGGCATCATATTTGCATATAAGCTATGCACATCTTCTGTCACTTTAAATCATCTCTAGACTACTTATAATACCTAATACAAATGTAAATGCTACAAAATTGTTGTAGTGTATTGGTTATTTTTTCTTTTTTGAGACAGGGTCTCACTTTATCACCCAGGCTGCAGTGAAGTGTTATAAACATGGGCTCAAGTGATCTTCCCACCTCAGCCTCCTGAGTAGCTGGGACTACCATGCCCAGCTAATTTTTGTAGAGACAGGGCCTAACTATTTTGCCCAGGCTGCTCTCAAACTCCTGAGTTCAAGCGATCCACCCGCCTCAGCCTCCCAAAGTACTAGGATTACAGGCATGAGCCACCATGCCCAATCCGGTACACTATATTGTTTAGAGAATGATGAAAAGAGAAAAGTCTGTATATGTTCACTACAGATGCTTTTTTTCCGTTCGATATTTTAACCTGAGTTTGGTTGAATCCCATAGATATGGAACCCATGGATATAGAGGGTACCTGTGTGTGCATAGGTGTAAATATTTCTCCAAGGCCTGTTTTGTGCATTTTCATTTTTAAAAAATTAGCACCCAGGTGCGGTGGCTCACACCTGTAATCTCAGCACTTTGGGAGGCCAGGGTGGGCAGATCACTTGAGATCAGGAGTTCAAGACCAGCTGGCCAACATGGCGAAACTCCATCTCTACTAAAAATACAAAAAAAAAAAAAAACCCAGCAGGGCACGATGGCTCACACCTGTAATGCCAGCTACTTGGGAGGTTGAGGCACGAGAATCACTTGAACTGGGCAGTGGAGGTTGCAGTGAGCTGAGATCATGCTGCTGTACTCCAGCCTGGGTGACAGAGTGAGACTTTGTCTCAAAATAAAATTAAATAATTAGCAAGTACAGTTAAGCAAAGAAAAGTGGGAAACATCTATAATTTTACACTGTGGAGTACCACTATCAATATTTTATCGCATATTTGAAAGTCTTTTTTCTATGCAAATATATATTTATACTATGGGGTGTTTCTTTTTAACATATAAATATCTAGACATACTGTTTCATAGCATAGTTTTTCAATTAACAGTAAAAATAAATATTTGATACATAAAATAAGAAAATGGTATGATGGTTTGAGAAGGAGAACCAGACGGGAATGATCACCGCTGAGTTGGGGCACTCTGTTTCAGCACTGGGTGTGGGGTGGCCCCAGCCCCTCCTCGCCACTCTGGAGCTGGGAGTCTGAGGGACTTTCTCTCTTGGTGACTCATGGTGGCCTTCCTTCTACAGGTTCTAGACCTCCATGATAATCAGCTGACAGCCCTTCCGGATGATCTGGGGCAGCTGACTGCCCTCCAGGTAAGGCTGCAGAAACAGAAACCCACCTTGAATGGCCCTAGTAAGACCAGGCAGTCACTTGAGCCTGGCGTGTTCTGGCCGGGCCCTAGCCAGTGGAAGCTGCACTAGCGCCAGCTCCACCTTCCCCTTGGCTCTTCGTTTTTGTTTTTTTGTTTTTGTTTTGTTTTTTGTTGTTGTTTTTTGAGGCAGTGTCTCACTGCATTGCCCAGGCTGGAGTGCAGTGGCGCCATCTCAGCTCGTTGCAACCTCTGCCTCCTGAGTTCAAGCGGTTCTCCTGTCTCAGCCTCCCTAGTAGCTGGAATTACCGGTATGCACCACCACTCACAGCTAGTTTTTATATTTTTAGTAGAGATGGTGTTTCGCCATGTTGTCCAGACTGGTCTCAAACTCCTGACCTTAATTGATCCGCCTGCCTTGGCCTCCCAAAGTGCTGGGATTTCAGGTGTGGGCCACCACACCTGGCCATCCCCTTGGCTCTTAAGACACCCAGCAGATGCCCCGGCCCTTGTGGTCTGCACTGTGTGTGCCTCTCAACCATATTTCTGGCATGTCCTTTTTGGAATTTCGTCATGAGCTTCCACAGCTTTACAGGAAAAAAGCACCCAGTGAGTCTGCCTTTTAAAAATGGTGAATTCCGTCCCCTGACTGACATCTTTCTTCTAGCCCTTCAGCAATAGCTCAGCGCAGGTCCAACCTGACATTATCTGTGGATTCCTCACAGCTGCCACTTCATACCAAGGTATTTGTTGTGGCTCAAAGTGATGGCAATTGGCTGGGGATGGTGGCTCACGCCTGTAATCCCAGCACTTTGGGAAGCCAAGGTGGGTAGATTATTTGATTTCAGGAGTTCAAGATAAGCCTGGCCAACATGGTGAAACCTTGTCTCTACTAAAAATTAAAAAATTAGCTGGGTGTGGTGGCGCATGCCTGTAATCCCTGCTACTCGAGAGGCTGAAGCAGCAGGATCTCTTGAACCCAGGAGGTGGAGGTTGCAGCAAGACAAGGTCATGCCACTGCATTGCAGCCTGGATGACAAAGCAAGACTCTGTCTCAACAACAACAAAAATTACTGAGGAGGAAATGACCCCCACCACACTGAGATTGAAATCCACTCTCTTAGCAAGGATCCGGAAGACCCCATATGGTGGGCTCTGCCTTTCTGTCACCCCTCCTGTCCTGCTCTCGCTCCTTGGCTTTCTATAGTCAGCTCCTAAAACCTGCTGTACTTCCATGCCCCACCCCAGCAGGGCCTGTCCCTGAGGGCTCTGCCTTCTGCCTGAGCAACTTTTCCTGGAGCTGTTTGTGAGGCACATCCTTTGTCTCTGAGCTCAGTGGATGCCCCTTATTTGCTGTCTCCACCTGGCTTACTTTCTGAGAGCAAGACTGCAATCTGTCCTTCCTAATTACATGTCTGCTGGCTCGCTGCCCGTCTCCCCAGCTAACCTCTGCAGTGCTTTACAGAGCACTGCCTGGTGTGGAGAAGACCAAGGAGTGATTTGAATGAACACCTTCCCCACCCCATGTAGGTCACATCTTCACTTGCATTTTATGGAAAACAGGTCTAGAGAGATGGCTGTCGCTTGCCTAAGGTCACGTAGAAACCATGTGGCAGAGCAGTAGTAATTGCCACTGCTTTTTTTTTTTTTAAGATAGAGTCTCGCTCTGCTGCCCAGGCTAGAGTGCAGTGGCGGGACCTTGGCTCACTGCAACCTCTGCCCCCCAGGTTCAAGCAATTCTCTGCCTCAGCCTCCTGAGCAGCTGGGACTATAGGCATGTGCCACCACACCCAGCTAATTTTTGTATTTTTAGTAGAGACAGGGTTTCACCACCTTGGCCAGGCTGGTCTTGAACTCCTGACCTCATGATCCACCCGCCTTGGGCTCCCAAAGTGCTGGGATTAGAGGCATGAACCACTGTGCCCAGCCACCACCACTTGTTTTTGAGACCAAGTCTCACTATGTTGCCCAGACTGGAGTGCAGTGGTATGATCTCAGCTCATTGCAACCTCTGCCTCCTCGGTTCAAGCAATTCTCCCGCCTTAGCTACCCAGTAACTATGATTACAGGTGTGCACCACTAAATTTTGTATTTTTAGTAGAGATGGGGTTTCGCCATGTTGGCCTGGCTGGTCTTGAATTCTTGACATCAAGTGATCTACCCACCTTGGCCTCCCAAAGTGCTGGGATTATAGGTGTGAGCCACCACGCCCAACCAATTGCTACCACTTTGAGCCACAATAAATACCTTGGTATAGGACTTTTTGTATGTGTATTTTTTTTTTCTCACTCTGTCGCCCAGGCTGGAGTGCAGTGGTGCCATCTCAGCTCACTGCAACCTTTGCCTCCTGGGTTCAAGCCATTCTCCTGCCTCAGCCTCCCAAGTAGCTGGGATTACAGGTGTGTATCACCAAGCCGGCTACTTTTTTGTATTTTAGTAAGAGACGGGATTTCACCATGTTGGCCAGGATGATCTCGATCAACTGACCTCGTGATCTGCCCACCTCGGCCTCTTAAAGTGCTGCGATTACACCATGCCTGGCCCCCATTGCATCTGTTTTTAATGGTTACTTAGTGTGTCATCTTGTTGACCTGCTAACCTCGAGGTGCCACCTTCTGGAGGGAGCACAGCTTTGGAATCCAGTAAGCCCTTGTTCAGTTCTAGCACCACTGCTGGCCTGAGGCCTTGGGCGGATCACACAGCCTGGGGCAGCTGAGCTTCCTTTTCCTTAATGCTGGGGGAGCTAGAGCTTCCTGTGCTGCCTCCCCAGATCCCGGAATCTGTACTCTCCTTCTCCCTCCCTTCCTCATGGTGGGGCAGTTACTGAGCATTTTGTGGTCGGTATAAGTGGTAGAACCTCTGCCAGAAGCGGGTTCAAGGCCTGGCTGTGCTCTCCTGAGCACATGACTTAACCACCCCGAGCTTCAGTTTGTTTCCTATCTCCAGTGGAAATCTAAAAATTTCTATCTTCCTCAAGGGCCGGCAGGAGGAGATGAGGGCTTGTGTGTATAGTACCTGCGTGCCCTGGCCTGGCAGGGTGAGGGGTGCAGGGGTCGTCACTGTGGTCTGTGTGTGGGTTCTCGTGTCACCTCTTCCTCTTTTTTAGGTCTTAAATGTGGAAAGGAATCAACTGACGCAGCTCCCGCATTCCATTGGGAACCTGACCCAGCTCCAGACTCTCAACGTTAAAGGTAGGAGCCAGGAAGCCGCGTCCGTGTGACCCTCTATCAGCTATGGGCCGTCCAAAGGCTGCCTCACCTGGGAGCCACTGAGCAGGAGGGCAGCCAGCCTCCAGGGATTGCTGTAAATGGACTGATCCCTGCTGGGTCAGCCATCTACGTGGTAACCAGAGACAGCCTGTCTGGAGGGTTCCTGTGACTCCTCAGGCCTGAGCCAGGGCCTTACAGGGAAGCGGGTAGCTGGGCCCTGAGCCTCAGTCACTCGGATTTATAATGGTGAGTGTAATGGACTGATGGGCGAGAGCTCCCAAGGAGCCACAGTAAGGTTCTGAGCGGCCCTTCCACCTCCAGCAACGCACCGAGCCTCCCGAGAAGTCCACAGGGCAGGCTGAGGGCGGTGGTGCCATCCCCAGTTTACACATAAGGAAAATAAGGCCTGGGAAAGCGAGTGTGACTTGCTCCAGACCACCCAGTGAGATGGTGACAGAGCCAAGACCACTGCACAGGCGCCTTACCACAGGAGCGTTCGCCTCGCCAGACCCAGCTCTTTCCCGTCTCCTCGCTGTCCTTAAGTAATTCCTGCACAGAGTGCCTCAGTTTATCAACTGGAACATATGAGTAATGATAACAGTGGCGCCCCATTGCTCAGTCATTACAGTAGGAGGGGCCCCGTGCAGAGGACCTCACACATCATCTCCCTGAACCTCCAATCTCCCCGTGTGCTTATGAGGCTGGGTCGTAGTGTCATCCCCATTTTCCAGATGAGAAAACCGGCCCAGGGAGACCAAGTCAGTTACCTAAAGTCTCTTGGCTGGTGATTGGTGGAGTGAGACTTGAACTAGAACGCCACCTTCTTGATCCTATGAAACCTCAGGGTCTGGGACCCAGTGTGTGCCCCAGAGGTCACAGTGGCTTCCAGCAGGCATCAGGCAGGAAGCTGGTGATGGGGATTTGGGGTGTTGAGCTGTGCTATTGGGGTCTCTGCAGACAATAAGCTGAAGGAGCTTCCAGACACCCTGGGGGAGCTTCGAAGCCTGCGTACCCTCAACATCAGTGGAAACGAGATCCAGAGGTTGCCGCAGACACTGGCTCACGTTCGAACCCTGGAGGTAAGTAGGAAGCTGCTTTTGCCTGGGGTGCTCTCTGGCCTGCCCACCTCCCCTCTCTCACATTCCTGAGTGTCTGCCCTGATCTCAGAGTGCCAGGGTCACACAAATCCTAAGGCATGGTCCTTGGAAGCTCGTAGAGAGGCCGATGTGTGAACATTCGTAATTATGTGACTTTTGCTGCTATAATAGGGACAGAAAAACATACTTTAAGAGTGAAGAGCCGGGCGCGGTGGCTCAAGCCTATAATCCCAGCACTTTGGGAGGCCGAGGTGGGTGGATCACGAGGTCAAGAGATCAAGACCATCCTGGTCAACATGGTGAAACCCGTCTCTACTAAAAACTACAAAAAATTAGCTGGGCATGGTGGCACGTGCCTGTAATCCCAGCTACTCAGGAGGCTGAGACAGGAGAATTGCCTGAACCCAGGAGGTGGAGGTTGCGGTGAGCCAAGATTGCGCCATTGCACTCCAGCCTGGGTAACAAGAGCGAAACTCCGTCTCAAAAAAAAAAGAAAAAAAAGAGAGAAGAAGAATGAATGCTGAATCTAGATGAGGTTGACACTTTAAGAAAGTTGGCAGTGGGGAACAACACACTGAGGCCTGTCGGGGCGGGGCTGAGGGGAGGGAGAGCATCAGGAAGAATGACTAATGGATGCTGGGCTTATCACCTAGGTGATGGGATGATCTGTGCAGCAAAGCACCATGGTACACATTTACCTTTGTAACAAACCTGCACATCCTGCACATGTACCCCTCAGCTTAAAATACAAGTTGAAGGAGAAAAAAAAGTAAAAAATAAAAAGTTGTGGTATTCAAGCCAGGCCTTGAAGGAGGAATAAGATTTCTGGGCCAGGCGCAGTGGCTCATGCTTGTAATCCCAGCACTTAGGAGGCCAAGCCAGGTGGATCACTTGAGGTTAAGAGTTCAAGACCAGCCTGGTCAACATGGCCCTGTCTCTACTAAAAATACAAAAAATTATCCAAGTGTGGTGGTGTACACCTGTAATCCCAGGTATTTGGGGGAGGCCGAGATAGGAGAATCAATTGAACCCAGGAGGCAGAGGTTGCAGTGAGCCAAGATCATGCCATTGCACTCCAGCTTGAGCAACAGAACAAAACTTTGTCTCAAAAAAAAAAAGATTCCGGTTGGACGTGGTGGCTCATGCCTATAATCCCAGCACTTTGGGAGGCCGAGGCAGGAGGATCACCGGAGGTCAGGAGTTCAAGACAAGCCTAGCCAACATGGTGAAACCCCATCTCTACAAAAATACAAAAATTAGCCAAGCCTGATGATGGGTGCCTGTAGTCCCAGCTACTTGGGAGGTGGAGGCAGAAGAATTGCTTGAACCTGGGAGGCGGAGGTTGCAGTGAGCCGAGATCAAACCATTGCACTCCAGCCTGGGCAACAGAGTGAGACTCTGTCTCAAAAAAAATAAAGGTTCTGAGTAGACCTGGGTAGCAGAGGCAGCCCAGGTGCAGCAGGCAGCTGGTGGGGAAGCACAGGCTGGAAGCTGCTGAGCCTGCATGATATGGGGCCCAGAAAGCTGGGAGGGAGAGGAGGAGGGAGGGACAGAGCCGCTGGGATGGAGGCTCAGAGCCCAGGTCAGGGCACTTCTACAGGCCAGAAGTCCAAGATCAAGATGTTGACAGGGCTGGTTACTTTTGAGGCTTCTCTCCTTGGCTCATAGGCACTGTCTTCCCTGCGTCTTCACCTTGTCTTCCCTGCATACATGTCCATGTCCAAATTTCCTCCTCTTAGGACACCAGTCATATTGGATTAGGGCCCAGCCTAATGACCTCCTTTTAACTTAATTACCTCCTTAAAGACCCTGTCTCCACATACAGTCACATTCTGAGGGACGGGGGTTGTGGGGATGGACGGGGGTTGCGTGGAGTGGGTGGAGGTACGGGGGTGTTTAGGATTTCCACATACCTATATGAACTGGGGAGGGGGACACAGGTCAGCCCATGACAGGCACTGACGGGGCAGCTGCTCAGGGAAGGTGGCTCTCACGCTCATGCTGATGAGGTGGCTCACATTTATCTGTTGCTTTTTTTTTTT